AAAAAGGCGGGCCACCTGCCACTGTCAATTCTGCATAAGCCACAAGTCTCCTGATTTGGATGTCCTAACGTTATGCCAGTCTTGTGAACTCATCTTCTTCCCACCATCTGTCCATGAGGGACTGTCAGGTGTGACACCCCAACTGACTGAGCACATAATTGGCTTTACAAGTTTGCTCCTCTAAGATTCTGTTCAGTAAGCTTTGTGATGGTTGCTTTATATAAGTTCATATCTTTAAGCAAGTTCTAGAAAACTGAACTGTTGATATCCAAACACTGTATGCAATGTAAAGAAACATATATGGAAGCCTGCAGCAGAGACACTTGGAGTTAATCACCTGCTCTCCATCCATGTAAGGCTCAGAAATATGGTAACGTGTAACAGAAAACTTGCCAGCACCATAGGGCTTCACTGCAGGAGTCTTTTTCATTTCCAAATTCTAGGAAGAAAAGTTCAACAACAGCTGTATCACAGAACAGTATCTCTAGCAAAGCATCTAAACCTAAGTGATCTGTACACTTAATTAGTATTAAAAGACATCCACTGCACCAAATTCTCTCCTGAAAATATTGTTAAAACTTTATATAGACTTAATAAATCACATCAGCACAAGGCAGATCTAGAGGGCTTTAACAACTGAGAGCAGCCCCTCCACACAGACTGGGATTCATCAGTGTCATGTTTCAAAAGCATTAACTGAAAAGCACTTGAGTTTAATGCGCTAATAGAAATTCCACTAACAACAGCTGTCACACCTCAGAGCAGGGCAACCACAGACCCCCATATAATTATACCTAACAGCAAAGTAACACTTCTCAAGTACAGACTTGCTTAGGAAAGTCAGAGCCATTATGTCCAATTTATTAGCTGAACAGAGAAAAGAGCCTTTTTTTGTAACCTCACTGAAAAGTGCCTATCTATGCTAAGTCATTGAGGTTCTTAAAGCTTTGTGTACACTACCACATTTCAACTCCTTTCCAAAGGTTTGAAGACTGAGCAATCAAACTCCCCCTCTTCTTTGGCTCAGTCTGATGTTCTCAGCAGTGAGACAGACAGGCTAGGGAACTCTGTATCTGCAGAGCCTGCCTTTGTACTTCCTAACATCTCCTCCATTATTTTTTTTATCAGCTTCTTTCACAGATTTTCTCCTAAAAAGGAATTCTCATCCACATTAAGTAAACCAGCAAGTATCATACCCTGAGGGCTTTAAAACTAACATGACCGTAAACAAATGTACATACACAGAGAGTAGCATTAAGTCTCAGGAATATCTTAAACTTATCTCTACACAAAAGGAGGTATACAAAATTTCAGTATTGATTATCACTTGCTATTTTATAAAGACTGGAGAAAGTGAAGTCCTTAAATTAAAATCATAGAATTCTTTAGGTTGGAAGAGACCTCTAAGACCACTGAGTCCAACCATTAACCCAGCACCGCCAAGTTACCACTAAACCATGTCCTTAAGTGCCATATCCACATATCTTTTAAACACCCCTAGGGATGGTGACTCCGCTTCCCTGGGCAGTCTGTTCCAGTACTTGACAACTCTTTCTTGTGAAGAAATTTTTCCTCATATCCAACCTGAATTTCCCCTGGTGCAACTCGAGGCCATTTCCTCTTGTCCTATTACTTGCTACCTGGGAGAAGAACCAATTCCTACCTGGCTACAACCTCCTTTCTGCACCTACGCAGAACCTCTGTGAAATCAAAGCAGCACAAAGGGAGTACCAAAGTCACCCCTAAAATGGACAGACTCCCCAACAGCCTTGGGTGCTGGTGTCCTGTCATAGCTAAACAGCTTACCCTTCAAGAAACAGAAAATGGAGGGGGTAAAAAGAAAACAAAAACCCAAAACAAAAAAAAACCCCACAGATAAAAATATAAAACTTTATATTACAGAACTAAACCAAATGCTACTACTGCATCATTATGACAGAAGGCTGAGGAGGCATGTACATCTGAGAAAGATCATTGCAGAATTTAACACCATGGTGGTTATTACATGAAAATGAGATCATAACAGTTTAAAAAGGCATTAACAAAAATAAAATCTCAGATGACAAGAAATAAAATTCACATGTAACAAGAGAGCAGAAATTTTAAAAAAAAGAAAACTAACAAAGCTTTGTAGTAAGAAGTCTCTAATACATAATTCATTAGTTCTTCTGAGTTTTGCTAAACCACTCTCCTTGAAATATGTGAATACCAACTTAGGATATCCTGTTGTGAAGAGTTAAACCAATAGATAAGTCATTACACTATATAGTACCCTGAAATTGTGATCACTATTGCATCATGGATACATACCTCAAAAGGATGTGGTGGAGGGGGTGGGAGGCTTGCAACTTTGGCTGCTCTTTGTCTTTCCACTTCCAGAGCATGTTTACGTGCATCTGTTCGTCTTGGGGGGGGGAGGAATAACAAACACATGTAAATCCACCAAAAATAAAACAAACAAACCAACCACAAAAGAGAGAAGGAAAATTATTCAAGCAATAGTGACAGTACTGTGCAAAATAAAAAGCAAACCTAAAAATTAACAGATTCTAGTGTACCTGCACTGAATGCTCGGGACATAGGGATGGATAAACACACTGAAAAGTCAACAGAACTTAGGCTGGAAGTAGCACTAAAAACTAATTTCTTCAAGTCATGCATAAATGTTAATATTCACAAGCTTCTGATGAACAATGCAAAAATCCCTCGAAGGGCCATGTCACTTCAACATATTTTAATTGCTTGTGTGTAGACAGAACTATTTAATCAACAGGTCTGAGCTTTACTCAAGCACAACTGTCCACAAGAGGACACACATCATTTTTCATGCCAGCTCCAGTTTGGCCCAATCTGCTTAATTAAAAAAAAATCCTTTGAAGGAGACCATGTCAAATGCCCTAGGTCCTTTTTTTCGAGTGGGTAACTCTGCATCTGGAGCTGGCCTAAGAGCATTTCATTTCCTACGTCACTGACCAGCTACCAGACAACAAGCCAGACTGAAAATAACGCTATAGAGATGAAAGGCATCCCACTCATGGAGAGTCTGCAGGCCAGTGTGCATCCCTGACATTTTTGTGGGGGTTTTAAAACTACAGTTCTTATCAAAATCCACAAGCTTTGTCCATGAGTGTTAATTCTCTAACCCATAAAATCTCAAGATTGAAAGAAGCATTAAAATTTGTGCCTTTCACCTTGTGACACTGTAAAATGCATTCTCAATTAAACAAAGTAACTGTTGCATACCGAGTTTGCTCATGAAGTAATTTTTCTTTTTGCTGCTTCTGCTCCTTCAGAGCTTTTCTGTGTCTCTTCTCTGCCCTTTGCTTCCTTTCCTCTGCTTGCTTTGCCAGAGCTTCTAAGTCAGGTTCCTTAACAACAAAATATTTAAAACATTTTATACAGGATTTTACTCACTTCTCATACTATCAGTGTGATATTTCAAATTACATGCTGCTGGTAAGAGGCACAAGCTCAAAATTACTTTATTCTGTATTAGGGTAAAAATACTAATACCTTTTCCTCTCCACCATCTTTATTATCTTCTCCTCCATCACCACCAGCAGCAAATCTGCCACATTCCCCAGCCAATCTAAGCAAATATTCATCTAGAAATCTTAGCAATGTTTCTGTTGATACATTTCTTTATGATTAGTTCCAGACTTGCTCACAAACACACCCATTCTAGCATTGGAAAGGGCTTTACAAAGAAGTTGATTTAAAGACACTGAGATATGGAACAGCATAATGCTATTTTACTTGGGTTAAAGACCTTGACTTATTGAGGAAGTAAAAGTCTGCAAAACTCATGCAAGAAATCTCTACCACCACTGACTGATTCCTACAAACCTAGCTCAGTGTCAAATCCATAGGAAATTTCTACCCAACAACCTCAATGATCTCTCAAAAGAGAGACTACAAAAGTTACGGGATTTTAAAGTAAGTTAAACCAGTTTATAGGTGCAGAATTAAAAAGTGACACCAGTTTGAAGTCTAAGCAAAGGCCTCTGAAGCCCATAGCAAGGCTCTCCACATCACTTGAGCACTGAAGGGAAAAAAAAAGCTAAGTTTATTTTCCTAACCACAGACAAGATAGAGGGTAAATAAAAAGTTTCTGTATTACTGGCATAACTGAGACAATGAGTCAATTTACTCAAGTACACACATACACATGTATACAACTTAACGCAAACAAAATAACTTCAAAGTCTGCACAGCAAAAGCCTTTCAGATATACCTGTAGGCCTGTCCTGTGGAAAGGTATCTACAAAAAAGTACATAGCCATTTCTAAAAAGTTTCCATTCTTAAGAAGCTGTCTGTTTAGGTATTAGGATTCCAAAATCAAGAACATAAAAAACCCCCAACCAAACAAACAGTATTTCTAGAACAGCAAAACTTTTTTGATAATATGTGCTGGTTTTGGCAGAGTTAATTTTCTTCCCAGTGGATTGAAGTTGTCTGAACACAGGGTTGGTAACGCAGAGCTGTTTTTGTTAATGCTGAGCAGACTTTACAGTGAGTCAAGACCTTTTCTGCTTCCCATGCTGCCACGCTGGCGAGGAAGTTGGGGGTGCATGGGAGACTGGGAGCAGACACAGTTAGGACAGGTGACCCAAACTGACCAAAGGGATATTCCATACCATATGACATCATGCTCATTATATGAAGTGGGAGGAGGAAGGAGGACATCTGGAGGGATGGCATTTATCTTCCAAAGTCACTGTTCTGCATGATGAAGCTCTGGAGATAGCTCAACACCTCCTGCCCATGGGAAGCACTGAATTAATTCCTTATTTTGCTTTGCTTGCATGTATGGCTTTGCTTTCCCTATTAAACTGTCTTTATGTCAACCTCTGAGTTTCCAGGCTTTTACCCAGCTGATTCTCTTCCCAGCCCTGCTGATGGGGGAGTGAGTGAGCAGCTGTGTAGGGCTTGGCTGCTGGATAGGGTTAAACCATGACACAATAACATTAAGCTGACTTACATTCTCCTTGGCCTGTCGGTGACCCTCACCAATCGCTCTCAAGCTTGATAAATACAGTTCTTCTAGGGCTTTCATCTTCTCCTCCTGTGCTTTCTGCCATTCAGCTCTCAGTGCCTCCTCTAACTGATGTAGTTGTTCCTCTTTCCTCTGCTTCACCTTCTGTCTTATCTGCGAGGCGATATACTTCTGTTGCTCTCTAACCTGCAGAAATAGCATTTTTGTCAGCAACCCAAGACAACACAATAGTTTTTGAAGAAAGACTTTCCCCAACATAGTCTACCCTCCTTCCAGCTTTCAGTCTCATCTACTATTCCATTAACAATCTGTCCAGAAAGTATCTTTAAAGTTGCTGTTACCTTTTTTCCAAAATGAATATACAAAATAATAATCTTAGTTATAAGCTTCAATTAAAACCTAAATAGCAATATACAACTGAAACAAATTGCAAAAACTGCTCTGAATGTCCTTCCCTCCAAAAATACAACACAATTTATGAAAGACTCCTATTACAATGCTATATGGTTTAAAGAAAATTAAGACCTATTCTGATAAATTAAAGCCTGTTTACTAAGTTTTTATTGTCCACTTTGTCAGTAAAATGCTCTTCACTAAAGACAAAAAACCTAAGAAAATAGCTCAAGAAGGGTAAAAGATTAGTACAAAGTAAATGACTTAAAGAAAGGTATTTATTTTTGAAGATGTGAAAGACCTGAACAGCTTGTGAAGAACTAAGCAGAGGAAGGTTAAGAAAAGGAGAAAAAAACCTATGGCCTAACAGCAGAACAGAAACAAAAGAAAGATGAGATGATCAACACACATGTTCTAAACAACATAAAGGTACTCAGACATTCTAAAAAGAGCAGTACTTCAGGCATTTAGAGCTATGACATATTGCAGCAATTCAGTTTGCCTAGTAGAAAGCTGTAAAGTTCTGTATTAGGCATAGTTGTATTATTTGTTCTACATGGTCACTGAGAAAACACCTGGAACACTGTAAGAGGTTGGAAACCTTAACACAGGTGGCCTATCAGAACAGAGAAAAGTGCGTGTTCATAACCAAATAAAAATGGTAGGGAAGATGTTCTGAAACAGGGTCCCATGTGAATCTAACAAACAGAGAAGGTATCACCAGAAAAATATGCACTTAATAGTAAATAAACATGAGAAAATGAAAGTAATTCACAAACTAAATCATTAGGTTTTACAAGGCTTGGGGAAGAGTGGCTGGAAAGGTGCCTGGAGGAAAAGGCTGGGGGAGTCGGTGCTGGTGGACAGCGGCTGAACATGAGCCAGCAGTGTGCCCAGGTGGCCAAGAAGGCCAATGGCATCCTGACATGTATCAGCAATAGTGTGGCCAGCAGCACCAGGGCAGTGATTATCCCTCTGTACTCAGCACTGGTGAGGCTGCACCTCAAATCCTGTGTTCAGTTTTGGGTCCCTCACAGTAAGACAGACACTGAGGTACTGGAGCTGGGGGAGGGTCCGGAGCACAAGTCTTATGAGGAGCAGCTGAGGGAGCTAGGGGTGTTTAGCCTGAAGAAGGCTCAGGGAGGCCCTCAATTGTGCTGAGTTAATGAGCGGACTTGACAAACTTAGAAGTATTTTCCAACCAAAACAATGATTCCACAATATTTACCCTGAAATTTAATTTACATGAAATAATTTTTCAGCTAATTTTCTTAAATTTGCTCCATCATTAAACAAAATACAAAACTCGTGAAAACACAGGCATACTTGTTGCAGCCTCAGTTTTCTTCTTCTTTCGTATTCTTCTTTCAGAAGCATGGCTTCTTCATTGGGACTAAGCCTCAATTTTCCAGCTGTTGCAACTTTCCTCTTCATGCTTGGATATGCCAAATAATCAGCTTCTATAAGAACAACACAAAACCCACACAAATTAGCGTAAGTTACACAGGTAAATCAGCTATAAAACCATTATTGCCATAAACCTACCAAACCTATCATTGTATCCAGGTGTGCCAGCTACAACTGTTTACATCTCTTCCAAGTGACAGGTGAACTTGATGATCTTAGAGGTCTTTTCCAACCTTCCTAATTCTATGATTCTAATTACGATCCACGATATTGTCTTCGTCAGAGTCACAAAAGGCACTGCTTTTGAAGACATATGCTACCTACCCACAATAGTATCATATTCCCTGTCTACACTGTGGAGCAGCCATGCAGATTTGCAAAGTCCACAGGGAATGTCATTCCACTGCTGGGAAGGCTAAAAACAACTACCTCACATACTACTGAGAAGCAAACCACACAGGTGTGCTTAGGGTGTGCAGCAGGCTGGTCACTTAGGTGATTTGTACTGAAATATTATTATACTCATTGAGAGAGGATATAACAGCAAGTGTGTGAATGTTTTTGGCTGCAGCCCAAGGTTTCCTGGCTTGAGGGCTGTGAAACTAACAACAGTCTGGATGCTAAGCATTTCACTAAAACCTTAAAACTGCTCACTGACAATTTTTTGTCTGAATTTTCTTAACCAGCCATTTCAAATTATGTTTCCCTGTAGATTTTACTGTGGGACCACGACCTGCTGCTTCTACAGTTTGCTTCCCATTTTCCTTACTATTATACTTTTCATCTGCACAGAAAAAAAAGAACCCACAAAAAAAAACCTTGGTCAATCTGATGCCCAGCCCGGTCCAAAATTCCCTCCCCCATTCTTAACTAGATCTTCAAATATTTTTAACTGTGAAAATACTCCTGCAAAGCAAACAAAGACTCTCAAAGGCCACATTTCAGATTTAAACAATTCTAAAAAACAGAAGCTTTTTACAACCGAACAATTAGCACAACACCAACAACGTGATCAACACATCACACCCGGAAAGACTTAGTTTCAGTCTCAGAGATAAAAAAAAATTAGCAAAACTCCGGAAAATCAAGCCCGGTGCAAAACTGAAGCAATCATCCCTGAGATACT